ATGACAAAGAGGAAGAGCAGCACAGAGGTCATGAGCTGGAGGGTGTCATTGACCAGCATGTAGGCGAACAGGATGTAGCGGGACGTGTCCAGGAACTGCCTCTGAGAYGCAAAGATGTGCAGCATGACAGCAATGCAGCACAGGAAGATGCAGAAGAACGGGATGACCACACACAMCTTGATGATCACAGACAGGCTCCTGTGGGAGGTGCCGTTGGTTTGAAGTTCAGTCAGATTCTGCATTTTGCAGCTGTGGAGGCCGGGAGCACAAATGTTAAAGCACTTAAAGGTCCATGTGCATACTAAGAAATAAAATGAATACACACAACACGAATGTCAATCAATTCACAACTACATGATAWCTGACAGAAAACCTCCAACACTGTAAAAAATATAAATACTTAATTGACTTTAAAGCAGTTTGAACGTTGTCTATATGAACATCCAATATTCATAATAATGAAGCTCTTCATTCACCTCAGAATATCTTCGTCTGTCAGAGGAGTTCAGGTTTCTATTCTTCTCATGATRAGATGTGTCTTCGATRAACGTTTCAGAGACACTCTCTCTCTAATCTCCGGCCTCATTTCTATATGTTGTGTCTGACAGGCCCGATTCCTCCAGAGATAAAGTAATTTCATGCTTTCATCATTAAGCATTATGATTCTCATTATCAACACATTACAYTGGGGAGYTGGACTCACAGTGGAAAGATAYATGGAAGGAAGCTCTGAACATGGACAGTGTYGTGACATGAAACTGTTTTGCGGACGAGCGACTCCACAATGTGTCACGATAAATCTAATTTTCTCAAATCATAGTCACTTAAAATCATAACAAACACGTCACAAGTGATGTTCCACTGAACTTTGTCAGGACCCTGAAAACCCCTTCAAAGTAAAGTCATTAAACCAGGATTCTTTGAAAAGTATTATTTATTATTTAAATCGAGTGTAATTACTTTTACAATAATTTCCAACATCATTTACAGTGTTTGCTTCTAAATACATTGATGATCCACAATCTCAGCACTGTGTTTAATAATCTGATGATCTACCTTATTCTGAAGGAGACATTATTTTGAGTACGAGTTGCTAATAGAATATTTCATTCGTATTCCTGTTTGCATGCTATAGAGCATAGTCTGATTATGATGTCAATCAGTCGGTAGCTGTCGTATACATGATGTCTCAGGATGCTGTGAAAACTCTAATAGGAYGTTATAATGCGATTAAGACGTATACATGTGTATCATGCAACTACTCACATGTCTCAATTTAATTATTGCTTATTCTGGTTATGACCTTATTGGGTTTAGAATAATTAAAGCATGCTGTTTACATGACAGTGCCTTATTTAGACTTTTGACTTATTAGGGTTATTTTGGGATATTGCTGACCATGMAAACTTAAAGGTTCAGTGTGTACAATTTAGTGGTGTAGTTGCATGTCGAGCTAACACCCCTCACCTCACCCTCCCCTTCTAAACATAACAGAGAACCTGTGGTAGCCTTCAGTTGACATAAAAACTGAAAAGGTGTTTAGTTTGTCCAGTCTGGACTAACGTTAAAAAAACATGGCAGCCTCCATAGAGAGGGTCCCCTCAATGTAGATATAAAGTATTTAGATATAAAGGGCCTGTTCTAGGGTAAAAAAACCCCAAAACAATTCATACAATTTAGATGAAACAAACTCRTGAAAACATCATGAGGATTATTTTATATTCAATTTCTGCAAATAGATCATTTTCAGCTAAATCTTACACACTGGACCTTTAATATGACGAGTGCTATCTGTCATTGCAGCAGTGCATTTCTGTTATCCAGCTGTAGCACTGGCCGCTCTGGTTTGGGGAGCAGTTAGATGTTAGCGTGAACTTAAAGTGTATTAGTTTTTAATGTAAATCAGTATGAAGAGAATCTGAATTAAACCAGGATATTAAGAGAACSTGTTTGAACAGAAAAAGTAGTGTTTTTAATTAATTTATCAAAGCATTATTTATTTTTTGCTAATGTGGTGCTGTCACTCAACTGAGCTGTTTCCAGCTGCCAGGGGGCCGGCTCTTGTATTGATCACTGTGATGATTCTGCTGAGAGGACACTTCCATGTGAGCTGGGTCAGTCGCTCCAGCTGTGTCTCGTCCAGTGCAGTTTGTGAACTGTTGAGCAAAGTGTTTTTGGCAGCAATGCTTTTTACTTGAGCTCACACAGCTGAAGTCAATGCAGACAGATGTGAGCTGCAGATTTCACTGAAGTCAGTGAAGCTGAGTCTCTCTCACAATGAATCCCTTTCTGCAGGATCAACTAAGAGTTGCTGGGCCTCGTGATAAAACTGTTAGAGATGTTGAGATTCCTACTTTGTAATTGTAACGGGAATCAATGTTGCTTGTGAAAGCATTGAGTGTTGTAACTATCACTGCAACTTTAGCACTGAATTACTTAATGGCTCCTATGTAGGGATAAACTGCTTTGAACAACAGATGAATTTAGACTCTGAAGTCTATTCGTTCCATCTAATCTATTGTTAAAGTCTATATTTTGTCTGCATCCCATATGTTATATGCTAAAAAATCACTTATGTATGACTGTCTATGATCAGGAGGCTGTTGATGGACTCAAACACTAAGTTTACACTCACAAAATATTCCGCCCCATATTCCTAAAAATGCAACATTTCTACTTCTAGAAAAACTACCAGATCACTACTACTAGTGTGTTAACATGACTATTAACTTACTCCACCAATATTCCTGTTTGCATGCAGCCATGGTCTGATTACTTTAAAACAGTGTTCTTACTTGATTTAGTGTAAAGTGTTCAGAGGCCAGACCGTCTGCAAACTGCCCTAAAACCTGAGACCTGTTTGAGACACATGTTCCGAATGCACTGTAAACATGAAGGTTGCTCCTGAAACACAAACAGCATGATCACCTCATGTGTTTCAATCAGAAAATTCTTATTTCAAATGTCAAATTCCGAACATTGTCACATTAAATACGAATAAAATATAGAGACATCAGCACTGAATGGTGAAAAAAAAACCTCAGGCACAAAAACATGTGTAACTGTCTAGTCCACGTTGGTTTACATTGGTGCAAGATGGTTTAACTCAGGGTTCGAGGACGTTTGACTGTATGTTGAGCATGTACGAGAGTGGGTAAATATTATTGACAGTCATTGTAAAGATCAGTACTGTGCATTTCAGCACTGTTTACTTGTGCTTGATAAATGAGTTTTCTTACTATCCTGGAATTATGCTTATTGTACTATTACTATTACTATTAAGTAAATTGCTCTAGATTAAAATTTAAGAAATGTGCAAATAGTAAAAACTATTGAATCCAGAACTACAGTTTGTGATTCAGGTGCTATTTTACTTTTTGGACTATTATACTGTATATATACTGTATATATATATATACAGTTATGTATATAACAGAGTTATTATTCAAAGAACAGAGTTATTATTCAAAGAAAGGATGAACCACATGAAGAGCACTTTCCTACACGTTCTGAGCTGCTGTAGTGTGCGACATCTCCAGAGCATAATTAGAGATCAAGTCTCATATCCCCTGTTTAGTAATTAACAGACTGGCTGATTATTAACTTAAAGCTCCTGAGTCTAATTGTGCAACCTGAAGTTTTAACTTGCTTGGCAAACAAGTTGACTCTATAGAGAACAACTCGCAGGGGCTCGTCCGCTCTTTACACACGTCCTGCGTCAGTGATCACGACTGCAGAGGATTGGACCAAAGTGTCCAAAACAAACTTTCTGCCTCTGAACCCCAGAGAATGTCAACTCAGCAAATAAGTTATTTGCAGGCAATTAGACAGAATCAATACTCTTACTTATCTGTTGGCATCAAGAGCTTTAGTGAGATATTAAATGGCCAAATATAGTTAAACCATTTTCAGTGAAAGAAAACTTAAAACTATAAAAGGGTGGGTTTAATAAAGGGTGCAATACACAAAGAAATGTGGTCTCATTATCTTACTTACAGTACTGATGGTAGAAAAATAAGACCTTCATGATGCCATCATGATGTCTAAAGAGAATTCTTCAGTGATATGAATCAGTTGTTTGAACTTTTCTGTGTGTTTGTTTTGTTCATGTTAAGGACATGTTTGGGAATAGTCTGCCTCCGCTGTACTTTAAGTGTTAAAGTTCATCTGATGTCCAGGTTTCAGCTTTTTTACAGACGGTTTGCATCATCAGCCCCTTCTTTTTTTTAACTGACAAATACTAGGAGTTGGGCCTCTTGTGCAACCAAATGCATTCTCAACCATTATCATTTTGGAATGTTATAGTATTCCAATACATTAACTTGCTGTATCAGTTGTATGTCATTTGTAAAATGTGCCAGAGCTATATATTTATAATTGTATGCACGAGAGTCAAACTAAAGAAAAAGCTAGTTTCTGATTATTGTGACCCTGACGGTGAGTGTTGGTCAAACAACCAACACATCAGGTTCTGCAGCCTGCACGTAGTTCCTGTCTCTGTGGGCTTTTGCAGATAACGCTACATGCGCACATTTGCAGGCAGCGTCAACAGATCAATGCCTTTTTACGCAATGAAATGTTTCTGGGGCCTTACAAATACCCAGCGGTAGTAACAGTCAGCACTAGACCAGCAGACTGAAAGCTTCTTGACAACTAGAAAAATCTATTTGTCTCTGTTTGATTTTAGAAAAGACAAAGCAGATTAGTTTGAATTGGTTTGAAATAGAAGACCTGTAGCAAGCAACTCATTTTATAGAGCTCATAGCAAATACATTCCTCAAGTGTAGCAGTTAGCAGTGATTCATCTGCAAAATGCAAGTTGTTCGTCAGTGTTCAGCGTGTGCCAGTCGTGCTGCTGGAGGATTTCTGCGAAATCAGACAGACATTTCACTGCTGCCGAGCAGGAGAGGAGCAGTCTGCAGCCGTGACCTCAGGTGAGTTATTTAAACAATGTTGTTTTTAAGATTTTACTTGTAACTGCCAGTCAAATAGTAAGCACAACAAAACTTTGAGATTAACCTACTCATGTAATTTCCTGATGTCTGTACAGCAGCTCTGAGAGTGGCCCCTTGAGCAGCAGGAAGTCTGGAGTCCAGAAGTCAGGGGAATGGACAAATGCTGCAAACATGAGCATTGCATCCTTAAGTGTTGCCCGTGGACTTTTTACACAGGTAAGTGAGTCTCCTATTAGAGATAATGCAACATGGTACATGCACCATTTGATCACTCCAAGTGTGCCAAATTTGGGACTTTTTTTTTTTGTTGAAATAGTGAATTTCTCCCCTGTTTCACCTCCTGTTTGTAGCAAGTGGAAACACTCACTCACGACTCCCTGATCAGAAGAGCAGTCTCAGTCGTCACAGACAGTTCGAGTACTTTCCTCTCCCAGACCACTTTGGCTCTCATAGACGCCCTGACAGACTATTCTAAGGTGGGTTTTAATCTTATGGGAAATATTTTATCCTTTCTTTGATTTCATACCTCAACCTGAGAGGGTAATTTATCATTAGGAAGAAAAACTCTCACACTACATGAGACATACTCCAAAATCTCTTCAGCCATACATGTATTACTAAGGGGATGATATGTGTGATGAGTTCAGGACCATAACAGTAATAACCCTTGTCCTCCATGTTTCATTAACTTACTTTTTTTCAAAAAACTTTACAGTGAGGTGGTTGTTTTAAAAGTTGCTCTGTATATTTCTTATTTTTGCTCACAGGCTGTGCACACACGTATTGCTGTCCAGAGACGGTATTTGGCCTCAGTGGGAAAACTGACCCCATCAGAGGAGGACTTACTCAAGCAGGCGATCAATGACCTGCGTGCAGAGGTTAGTTTGTGTACTTATCATACATACTTATAGCATTCAAGTAGCATATTTATATATAACTAAATGTATGATACTGAGTTTGTCTCATCTCTGTGACCTGACAGGTTACCTACAGACTAGATGAATGCAAACGTTTTGAGTCATCCTGGATCAATGCTGTCAACTTGTGTGTAATGGCAGCTGAGGCAGCGAACACCTCAGGTGAGTACATCTATTATCATGATAATAATATTATCATGATAGAATAAAAAAGGATTCAAATCCTAAGTATATGCTGGACACTCAGCTGAGCTTTATTGAAAACACAGTGCCTGGTTAAGGTCCACATCAAATGTTTGAACTCAAGCTGGTATTATGACGACCTTTGAACTTTCACAGCAGTTTCTCAAAACCCATGTTTGCGTCTGTGTGTTTCCAGGAGCCGAACAGGCGTCTATCACAGTGAGGACAAACATTCAGGTGGCCCAGTCGCAGGTGGAGGAGGCACGCAGAGTGTCGGCAGATGCAGAGAAGAAGTTGGCCGAGACTAAAGTAGAAGAGATCCAAAGGATGGCTGAATACGCTGCCTCCTTTGAGGATAGTGAGGAGCATGAGGTGCATGAAGCTTATCTAAGAGAAGACTAAGGGAAATAGAGATATTGTAAAACAGTAAGAGCCTGTCGAACAGATTCGGCTTCCAAAGCTTTAACCGAAGTGTTATTTCCATAATATGTCAGTCTCGTTTATGAGCCTGTGAGATGATTACATGTTAAATAAAGAAAATCAGAGTT